GTGTCTCGTTCCCTTCGGGGAACCATGGTTACATACGTAACCTGGAGACGTTTTCTCTTCCTCTTCTCTAAAGCAGCGCAGCATGGCCTCGCCCCCTTTGCTGCCTTTTCCCGAGGGCGGGGTTTATCTGGGTTTGTGATGTCACGTACCCGGGAAGTAACTTGTTGTAGTCCCTACCAGCCGTTTTTGTAGGCATTAAACTGCCAGAATTTTAAAAGACGATATCTCCGTTTGCATTGAATTTTCAGCTTCGTAACTTTGCAGATATTGTTTATGCTCAAACAGCAACATTACACACTAACTAACGTTAAAAAGGTGAAATCGCAATCAACCACCCCTTTAAATCCCAAGTGAGCCAAAGGCAAGTGCGGAAAGGAACCCAAAGGATTAAACAATTACTGCTTTGGCGATAAACCATGATAAAAATCCCGATGGTTAGTATTACCGTTTCACATTTTAATTATCATTAAAACCATATTCGATTATTGCGATTTGAAAAACTAGCTGTAAATACTGCTCAACATTAAGCAAATTTAGTCTCAACACTTCAGATAATAAGGTAACCTATGTAGAACTGTTTATGGAGCAGATAAAATGCCTAAAATTTATTATTTTTCTTAATGATTTAAAGGCAGAAATGTGAGGTTTATCATTTTATAAAACTTTTTTTTAACTTTATTTGAATATGTATTAGCCTAAATGTTAATGGATAACATGTTAGTCACCCAACCAATAATAGTTATTATTTTAATGTTTATGCAAACAAAAAGTGCATAATTTTGCACTTTTTTTTTTTTTGGTTTTTGATATAAAACTTGGTGATTTCACTGTATGTGAGTACTTTTTGAACACTTCCAGCACATGATACTGTGATAATATTGATAAACATGATAATTTTGGTCACTATAATAGTACACTCTTAAAAATAAAGGTGCTTCAAAAGGTACTTCACAGCGATGCCATAGAAGAACCATTTTTGGTTCCACAAAGAACCATTCAGTCAAAGGTTCTTTAAAGAACCATCTCTTTCTTACCTTTTTATAATCTGAAGAACCTTATTTAGCCACAAAGAACCTTTTGTGAAACAGAAAGTTCTTCCCTGTTGTACCGAATATCTATACTTTTCAAATTATCATATCGAAGTTAGAAATTCAAATATTGTGACAAAATTAATTTTGTAGGATGCCACAAGTTTGTTAAAATTTCCAAAGGGTGCCGCGACTAAAAAAAGGTTGGGAAACACTGGTCTACTCTACCAGGATCAGGAAACAGTCCTCCATTAAATGTGCTGCACACATCTGAATATTTCGGTTGAACTGTTCTGGAACAGTGTTGTAAATACAACTTAACTTGTGACACAGAATAGCATATGCTGCTTGCGTTCAGTCGTCATTCTCCAAAATGGCGCTACAGTGATGCGGAGAGACACAGAGGAAACGAATTGTTGAATAAAATCTTTATTTTTGTTTTCTTCGCGCACAAAAAGTATTCTCGTCGCTTCATAACGTTACGGTTGAACCACTGATAGCAGATGAATTATTCTGACGAACGATGTCTTTCATAGTTTTCTGGACCTTGACAGTGTAATTTACTTGGCAGTCAATGGGACAGTCACAAGCCTCCCGGTTTTCATCCAAAATATCTTAAATTGTGTTCCGAAGACGAACGAAGCTTTTAGGGGTTTGGAACGACATGGGGGTAAATGATTAATGACAAAATTTTCATTTTGGGGTGGAGTAATCCTTTAACATTTAAGACCTTAAGATACACCTAAATAAGGCATT